TCCAAGTCCAATGCAACACTTTTTTTTATTTTTTATTTTTTATTTTTTTTAACTAGATACAACACTGATTGTCAGCATTCAAAATGAGGGAAAAATCTTCACATTTGCAGAACTAACCAGGCAACTATAATCTTCAAAATGATGATGGTAAAAAGGAAGATTGTAGTTGTTGAGAATGTGAGGATGTTAAAGTGAGGGGATTATGTCAATTAAGTTACTGCTATATGTTTTGCTATGTAGTCATGTTCCGTCCCATATGTTTATTATATCTTGTCAGAACAGTAGTTGTTTATTATGTTTATCTAATATAGATCTGTCCCAACTTACATAGGGAGCAGATTAGACTTTTTGCACTTAATATAAATACCTATTTATAGTAGCTGACTGGACAAGGAAGAAGTCTAACATTTCCCTCACATCGGATCACACCAGAATTCTGTCTTCCTTTCTCCCACCACATAAACTTCAAAACACCATATTTTAATCTTTATCCTTTGCATCATACCAATAAGTATTGATGATCACACTGAGTGACCTTGTTGTGGTGCTTAAATTCATGGGAAGATCCTCTATTTGAAGGTTCAAAGAGGGCTTGGCGCGAGGGAGGTGAAGTGTCCAGAAGTGATGTGAAGTTGTTGGTTCAAGCAAACCCTTTTCTGTGGTGCAGTGCAGCCATGAGGACTGATGCATCTACGAGTAGTAGCAATGTATGGTTACATTCTATGTGACTAAACTCCTATAGTTGTGTGCCAAATGGTTATAAGATTTATTAAAATGTCAGAGTGCATAATATTTTGCTTGTTTTTACAACTTTTTTATTTGAGAATGTTAAAGTATATTTTCATTTTTTTTATGAATGAAGATAATTTGTTAATCCAGAAATTAAGTCAATACAGGAAACCTATGAAGAGGCACGAGCTGTTACCTCTTCTAACAAAGTATTACATCAAATTAAAACAGGAATAAACAGAAATAAAATTACATAGCAGCCCAAAATAAATGATCCCTTGAAGCCCCTTGCTTAGCTAGCCCATCAGCTAAGGTATTTGCTGATCTTTCCACCCAAAGAGAGGTAACTGTCATATTTCTTCTGAGCCAGTTACATAGCTGAAGCTGGCTCTATCAGCCATCCCACAACAATTTTGGAGTCTCCTTCAACTACCAAGTGTTGAACTCTTAATTGTTCTGCAATCTGAATACCTTGTACAGCTGCTAAAATCTCTGCTCTATTTGAGTCTCCTATTCCCACAGGGCCTGAAAAAAAAGCTAAAATGTTGCTCTCCTTATCTCTCAGCACCCCTCCTATCCCCGAAGGGCCTGGATTTCTTTGGCTGCTACCATCGAAGTTCAGCTTTACCCAACCTTCAGGTGGAGGCTTCCACGCTGCACATTCCTTGTCCTTCCTCGTATGATTATTGGCTACCGCTTTCCAGTTTCTCCAAATATCATCAAAGGAAAGCGTATGAAAGAAGTCCATAGTTCTTAACCAATGAATGGCCCTAGTCAAGATACAATCCTCAACAGTCTGAATGCTTCTTTCCTTTTCTTTGAATACCCTTGCATTCCTTTCTTCCCAGATTGTCCACAAGGCGGCTGCTCTAATACATCTGCACATCATTTTTCCTTTTTTTTTTGTAGGCCACACAAAAAAAGGACCGAACAGCTAACTTAATTCTGTGGACAGATTCCACTTGCACCCAAACAAAGAAAAAATCCAACTCCAAATAGCACTAGAAAATGAACAATATACAAGTACGTGGGAGCAATCCTCACCACTAACCCTACAAAGTACACACCAGTTAGGGGACAAGCACATGAAAGGCCTTTTCTTCTGCAAGCAGTCCAAAGTATTGATCTTTCTATAAAACACCTCCTAGCAGAAAATAACAATTTTAGGAGGAACAAGTCTAAACCAAATCTCCTTGGTTGGAAAACCCAACAGTCCCATGGAAGAGCAAAGGGACTTAAAAAAGGAAGTACAAGTGAAAAAACCTTTTGGATTAGGGGACCATAGTCTCACATCCGAACTAAGAGGGTCCAGAAAGACACTGCCAAGAAGAGACAACAATTCTGAAGCACTACTAAGTTCAACATCTCTCAAACCTCTCCTAAAGCCAAAGTCCCAGCTTAAGGATGAGGGTGAAGTAAGAGATGGAAGAAAATGAGAGATAGCTTTTTCCTTGTAAAGGGAAAGAGAATAGAGAGTCAGGAACCTATCCTTAAGGACAACAGTACCCACCCAAGTATCTTCCCAAAATAAAACCGAGTCACCAGAATTGACATCATACCTGACCAAGTTGAGAAACTGAGGGAGGACACTCTGAATTGCTTTCCAAGGAGATGCCAACGTAGCTTGACGTGATACACTCACATCCCATCCATTTTCCCGTCTGCCAATGTATACTAGCTATCACTTCATGCCACAACCTCTCCCTTTCTCTAGGCCACCTCTACAACCATTTTCCTAAGAGAGCTTTATTCTTTAGAGCAAACCTTCCTAATCCCAGCCCACCCTCCTCTTTACTCCTACAAACTATCTCCCATTTGATTAGGTGATCTTTCTTTTCCTCCCCAGGCTCCCACAGAAAAGATCTCATTATCCTCTCCAACTTCTTAGCCTCTCTAATAGGATCTCATTATCCTCTCCAACTTCTTAGTCACTCTGCCCCCTATAGAGATGTAGTTCTTTTTCCAAGAAGCTAATCTTTTCTCAAACTTTTCCAAAACTGGGGTCCAAAATCTACTCTCCTTTGCCCCTAGAGGGAGACCTAGATACTGCAAGGGCCAAGAAGAAATGGGACAACCTAAACAATCTGCCATAGACTGAAGAGTCCTCTCATTCAAATTAACACTTATCACACAACTCTCCAGGTCTATCTTCAAATTGGAGACATTCTCAACGTATTGTAACAATGCTCTGAGATTCCTCACTTCTCGCCTGTCACCCCCTTCACAAAATATTATGAAATCATCGGCAAACTGCAGGTGGGTTACCCGGACATTGTTCCTTCCAATCCTCCAACCTCTCACTTCCTCTTCCCTATCTGCCTTAGAGATTAATCTACTAAAGACATCTGTAACTAGGGTGAAAAGAAACGGGGAGAGAGGGTCACCTTGTCTAAGGCCTCTACAAGCTAGGAAAAAATCTTTGACTACCCCATTAACCAAGACTGAGTAATGGCAGGAGCTAATACAGCCCTTTACCCAATTGCACCATCTAGCTCCAAAACCACAACCCTAGGACCTCTAGTAAAAAACTCCAATCCACAAGATCATAAGCCTTCTCTAAATCTAGCTTACATACAAAACCTTGAGTCCCCGACTTTCTCATGTCCTCCACACACTCATTTGCTAATAAGATCTGATCCGTTATTTGCCTTCCCTACACGAAAGAACCTTGTGCTTGATTGATGATGGAGGGTAGTACTACTTGAATTCTCAATGACAGTACTTTAGCAAGGATTTTATAGATACTTGTCACCAGACTAATCGGCCTAAAATCCTTAGGGTCCTTTGCACCTGCCTTCTTTGGGATTAGGGCTAAGCATAGTTTTCAAGGCGTCTAGGCGACATTGGGGCTCCTAGTCCGCCTAGGTGATAAAAGTTTTATAATATAAAAAACTGACTTTTGGCTAGTTTTCTAGTTTTATATACCATTCAGCAGGTTTGTTAATTGAAAAAATAACAATTCTCTTTATTAAGAACATTAGATTTCCTCTAAAAATGTGACAAATCATCACATCTAAAAGATAAAAATCTTTTACATGTATCAATTTCATTATTTTCAAAAATAATACTACTATAATAAGTATTTAATGGAGCAAATTCATATTAATTAGCAGCTAAAGAAGGTTATTAACTTTATATGATAAATATTCAAGATAGAAAGTAAAATAGAAAAAAAAAACAAGGATGGAGTTTCTGTTTTATTTAATTAGAGAGAGAGAATAGATAAAAAGAACTTTATTATTCTATTCTTTCTTTCCTCTTTCTTTTCTTTCTTTCTTTTCTTTCTTTCCTTCTTTCTTTCTTTCTTTCTTTCTTTTTCTCTCCTCAAAACCCTTTGATCTTTTAAATTTCAATAGTAAAACATTAAAACAAATATATAATTGATATATATGGCATATAATAAAATGTATTAACACATACATTAATAAGATACATCAATATAAATGACATTATAAAAAGTGCCCGCCTTGTCATTTTTGTCGCCTAGGCAGGTGCTTAGTCTCCTAGGCGGGCGCCTAGTCACCTAGAAGGGCACTTAGTTGCTAAAAGTCAAGGCATTTGGGCGAGGCGCCCAGCCAAGGGCGCCTAGTCGCCTAGGCGACGCCTTGACAACTATGGGGCTAAGAAAGTAGCATTAACTCCAGGGCTCACCATTTTTTTATCTGCAAATTCCTGAAACACCCCAACAAGGTCTTCTTTAACCACATCCCAACAGTCTTGATAAAAAGCCATTGTAAACTCATCTGGACTAGGTGCTTTGAATCTATCCATTGAAAACACCGCCTGTCTAATGATCTATGAACATATAATCAAAATCCAAAATAGAACTATGTGTGACTCCTTTGAATTCTTTGTGAATCAATATCCACGAAATAAGTTTGTCCAATGCCTTCCCCAGCAACTACTCAATGCATGCCCCGTTCTCAAAAATGTGTGAGTTTCTTTTTAGTTTGAAAACTCATTACATTATCCAGAATTATACACATGATTGCCAGATATGAAACATCCTAAGGTCCACAAGCTTGCTTAAACCATTCTCAGCACTTAATGAAGACAAAATAGTATCAATTACATGGTATAGCTAAACTCTAAGTGTTGCTTACAAGTTACAACAGGCAGCAAATACATTGATAACATCTATAGGACCAATTCCCAGGCAGAGTATAAGTTTATAAAACATCAACTTGAGTGCATTTTAAAACTTTAAATCTTAGATCATAAACCTAGACAGAATTGTATTCACTAACTTCATATGCAAAATACTGGCATACCTATCAGAATTGTATTCACGAGAAGCAAGAAGATGAGCATGCACATCTTCCAAAAGCCTCAAATTTTTTCCCACTGTAGAGTTCTTTCCAAGCCACCCACCAAATCTATTAAAATTGCGCTCCCCCTGCAAAATTGAAGTAGGCTTGTAACATTAATGAACAAATTTAAAACCATATAGAACTTCAGAATTAGATTCTCTTTTTCATCAATAAAGTTGTGATAACCAAACAAAATAATAGATTTCCCTTCCCAAACATCCTAATTATTGTCATATCAATTCATATCTTTATCATAAGATTCATCAATATGATCCAAAACTAAGTCATAAAAGTTAAAACGCTAGTTTGCTCAAAATCCTTAACCTCTTTAGTGTCAATAATGTATTAAATCATAAACCTTCTTTCAGGTTGACAGCCTCATTACAGGAAAGCTAATACCTGCCAAAACAAAGACTATACTTACCTGATATTCTCCTGAGCACAGAAAAACCAAACTAAACTCTGGCAGGTAGAAACTAATCATATATAATATGTGTATGTAGAGCAATGGGAAATTGTAGAGATACTGAGCTGAATGGGCCTTAGTTCTTTTTTTTCTTTTAGTGGTGTTTATGTTTCATTAGTGGGCCTTAATTATGGGCCTTGTTTTGCATTCTTATTATCTTTATTGAGCTGGCCACCCTACTAAGGACATCCTTGTAATTGTATCTAAATTACAATTAGATATAATCAAAGTGCTTAGGGGACTGAAGAAAGGAACGAACAATCGATTAGCTCTCTTCCTTCTTCCTCTTTCTTCCATTCTCTTCTTTCTTCTTCTTCCTCCCCTTTTTTTTTTGATAAATGTTCTTCTTCCTCCCTTTTTATTGCAGATGTGATTTACAACTTAGTATCAGAGCAGGTTCCCACCTTCTTCAGTTTCTTCCTTTAGGCCCATACACAGTGTGTGTGTGGAGAACTGGTTGGCTGATTGATTGATAAATTGTACAACCTAGTTGGGGGAGCTTTTTGGAGAACAATACAGCCTTAGTTTGAGGCCCAAGACAGGTTCTTGGAGATTTTCCTAAAAAGCCTAGCTAACTATAGTAATTGAACTAAGGGGTCTAGAGATAGTTTGAAGATGGCACTTGGGGATACACTTAGGCTATGAAAGGGTTCTGAAGTTCTTGGTAGGAGCAGATACACTTTCTCTCTTTCTCCCGGATAGCCAGGTTCTGTGAAACCCTAGTTTGGGGTCATCCAGGAGTAGTTTTGACTTCAGATCAGTGGTTCTTGATTAGTATCCCCCTATTTTTATTTTCGTTTGTTTCCATTTAGCCAATGGAACAAATTGGAGGTGAGACAAAACAACTTGGGTTTGGCTAGGGAGGGTCTGTGGAGACCTTGTTAGGAGCAGTAACCATAATGAAGTTAGATGGAACCAATTATCTACCATGGTCTCAGTCAATAAAGCTCCATGTTTGTACTTTGTAGTAGAGGGAAATGGGGGTACATCACTAGGAGTAAGAAGAAACCAAAGGAGGATAACCCTGCCTATGAGAGGTGGATGCAAGAAAACTACAAAGTTGTAGGATGGTTAGTGAATCCATGCAACCTCATATCAACAAGCACTACTCATGGATGGATACTGCAAAGGAGGTGTGGGACAGGGTTACAAAGACCTATTCTTAAAAGTTAAATGTTGCTAGGGCCTACAAACTAAAGAATGATATGAATAATCTAAGACGGGGAGAAGCCCTTAGTCATATACTTATCAATGCTGAAATCTCCTTGGCAGGAGATTGATCTGATGGAGACCAGTTTGGAGTGGCAGACAAACCGGTCACTTGCAGTGGAACAGAGGGAATCTTTACCACAGAAGACCCAAAACTGATGGTCGTAGCTGAATGCTTTTCGTGCTTTTTCCTTTCCTTCTCTAGTCTTCCACTTTTCTTCACCCCTTGATCAGACCCGGCAACGTTCACACTCCTTTCCAAAACTCCCAAACTTCGTAATCACCAAAACCCAATCATCTGTCTTGCCTCTTTGACTCCTAGGAATAACTCCTTTTTTTTTTGCTTCTTTGTTTAAACTTGGCTACTCTTCCTTTAATTGCCCTTAGAAAACTGGGCCCAAGATCATTTTTACCGCTTTTCAATATCTTTTTAAATAGATTGATCATTTTTACCGCTCTTCAATCTCGGTCTTGGAAAGTGATCCCCACTCCCAAGGCCAATTGCTTCATTCAAAGAACACGACCAAACATTTCATATGATGTCAGAGTGATTAGTCAATTTATGCATGCCATATGGCTGTTGTAGAGAAGGTTTTGTGTTACTTAAAGGGAACTCCAGGAAAAAAGCATTCTCTTCTCCAAGCATAGGTACATGACATTAGAGGCTTATACAAATGTTAATGAGCTGGTAGTATAGATGACAAAACATCTCCAACTAGTTATAGTGCCATGGTAGCAGGGAATATTATCTCTTGGGGAAGAAGCAATGTGGGGTAGATAGATCTATAGCAGATGCGGAATATAGGGCTATGGCCCATGGGGTTTCAAAGTTGTTATGATTCAGGTCACTTATAGAGGAGATGAGCATTGCTTATGATAAGCCTCTAGTGTTATATTGTGATAATCAGGTTGCTATTAACATTGCTCACAAGCAACAGCATGACTGAACAAAGTGTATTGAGGTAGACAGACATTTCACACGAGAGAAAGTGGCATCAGGAGAAGTTTGTCTTCCTTTCATTGCCTCAAAGGAAGAGCTGTTAGATGTTCTAACTAAAGGTGTTTCAATGGCAAAGCTGCAACACTATGTAAGCAAGCTGGGCATGATAGGCATCTAAGCTCAACTTGAGGGGGAGTGTAGAGATACTGGGTCAAAACCGGATGGGTGTTAGATCTTTTCTTTTATTTTAGTGGTATTTGTGTTTTGTTAGTGGGCCTTAATTATGAGCCTTGTTTTGCATTTTTATTATCTTTATTGAGCTATCCATCCTACCAAGGGAATCCTTGTAATTGTATCTAAATTACAATTAGATCTAATAAAATTGCTTTAGGAGACTGACGAGAGGATCGATTAGCTCTCTTCTTTCTTCCATTCTCTTCTTTCTTCTTCTAAACTCCTTGCTCCTCATTTCTTTTAGTTTATTTTCAGATTTTTTGCAAGCGTGATGTCAACTGAAACATTTTGTTATGGAGTGGAGAATGAAAACACTTCATAACATAGCAGAGAACTTCATGAATTGGAATCAACTTTAGCCTATAGAGATAGACAACCAAAAAGAATGTGCCGTAGCCAAAAGGGTCAATAAAATGAAATATCCAGGCTTCATTCAGAAATATATATATATATATGGTAAAATAGGGGAAACCAATTGGTATAGTTGGCCTTAATACAGAATTCAGTTACAGAGTTACCATGTAATCTTTGCAATCTACTGTTCAGAGGAACTGAGGAAGGCACCTTCAACTCAACAGAACTTACCCAATTTCAACCTCATTCAGTATCTCAGTTTTTTGCCCATGAAGACAAAAATTCCTGAATTTGATTCCCCAATATAAAAGACTCAAATTTTCCCCTTTATATACACATCAGATATTAGAGTACAGTGCAACAAAGTTGCATATAATAAATCACAAATGAGTATTCAATCTAAGAAGCAGTGGAGAAACATATTCAACCAAATCCCAACCTAGCATCTTCATTCTCTGAACAATTTGCCCAGCTTTTGACATGTTAACAAATGATGTGGCCAATCCCAATGATCAGCCAGATAACCACTTGTGAACTTTTGTGGTTCACATTGACCCTATCTCAAAATTTTTGGAAGTCTTCATCAAGTGATATGAACCACTTAAGGCCGAACACCCCTTTTGAGCAGCCAACCACAATGTCACTTGGTAGTTTCCTGGGTCATTAGAGTTCTTCCTCAAATTATTCAATAAGCAACCTGATATACTAAATTCAAGTTACTCCAAAAAGGCTAGATAAAAATGTTATGCAACAATCACAAGCTATAAACAGAAATCTCTTTGAAGTGGTAATATAAATTTCCAATTAGCATTTCAACCTGTTAAATGGAAGCAGAGAACAAGTAGAAAATATTGGTATTGGATCAACTACTTGTCACTAAGGCATACAAATTGCTCAAGGATGAACATCTTTCACCTGATAGTAAATATAGTTTTAAAATCTTACAAGACATAAGGCATCCATTACCTGTTCAAGGGTCTCTCTTCTCCCATGCAGCAAAGCAGCACTAATTAAAATAAACCAAATCAAATATATGAGATGAATTTAAAAGAAAACACACACACACACATGCACACACACACAAAGAATAACATCATTCAATGTGGAACACAGTGAACATACGGGATTATGCAAGATGCAAACGAGCTAGTTTGGGATAGTTGCCACTGTCGATATCTTCTAATTTGAACATTGATTATATCGCCATCTGCAATAGACTCTGCAGCACGTGCAAGTAAGTTCATTCTTTTGATCCCGTTATCATCCTTACCAGCAAAGCTAGGTACATAATTGATGTAATTTTCCTGAAACATAGTAAAAATAGGAAACCCCAAATAGTTTAAGTGGCTAGCTATTTCTATATTATTTTTCTATCAAGACAGTACTCAAGTTTTAAAGTTTTCCTTCTTTCTTCTTAGAGTCATACAATGCACAAATTCATTATTGAAGGCTTCATCCCATTTTTGGTGGTAAAACATGGAGCTATGAAAGTAAAAAACATATCTAGATATTAAACATGGTCTACAATAAGCACTCAACATGAAGTCTGTTCAAATACAGCAAAACAAGTGAAGTTATCTCATAATTTTGTCTGTGCATTATTAACAAACTTATTAGAATCACAAATCATGGAAGAAAAAAATGCTATACTCCAGGCAATTATGATCTCATCACCATCATCCAAGCTTTATCCCAAATATACAGGGTTGGCTACATGAATCCTGTTTTTCCATTCCGTTCTGTTTAAGGCCACATCCATTGTTCAAAAATTGGCACTTAAATAAATGTCATTCCCAATATTTAATCTCATTTCAGTGAGAAGCTTAGTCAAAAAAAAATATCTAATTACACAAGAAAGTGACAAATACTTGTGGGTAAACAAGTCCTCTGCTAATGGAAGACATGGAAGAGTAGTCAGTCCTCAAACAAATTTTAATAAAAGCACGATAATGGAAAAGCAATGTTCATTCTGCCCATGAGAAAATGGGTTAGGACAATTATCTGAAATCATCAACATCATCACCAATATTATTATATTTTATCAGCAACTGAACGAAGATTTCATTAAATAAAATGTAGAGAGCATTACAATCAATATACATTGTGCAGATAACCAGCCCCAAGAACAGATTGGTCCTATTACCCCCAAAGCTTGGCTAGACCATCAGCCAAGACATTTGCAGATCTAGGAGTCTACACTATTGAGCAGTTCATTTCTGACATTAAAAGCTGAATCTCTCTGAGGACACATCTGAATCATCATACCCTGTCTTATCACCTTTCAACCAATCTATGGCCACCTTGGAGTCACATTCTATTAATATATTCCTGAAGTTGGCTTGTTTAGCCAGTCTTAATCCAGTTAGAATTGTTATCATCTCTTCTGTGATTGAGCCTCCCACTCCTAATGGGACTGAATGTATTCCAAGAATAGACCATTTTTCACTTCTCAACACTCCCCCAATATTAGAGGGACCCAGGTTGCTCTACTACACCCATCCAAATTCAATTTGATCCAGTTATGTTGCAGACTATCCCAAATGCACCTCTGGTTCATCTTTGAGAATGAAGAGGTTGTAATTTGCTGCCAATTTCTAAGGATAACATCTGAAAAATAGTCTTTGAAGATTTCAAAGAGCATTATGTTTATCATTGAAAAGTCTATTATATCTCTCCAACCAAATGCACCATCGGGTGGTAACCCATCGTGCATCCCCATAGAATCTTCTTTCCTCTGTTTTATTTATTTATTTATTTTATTTTATTTTATTTTTTTTTTTTGGGGGGGGGGGGGACAACCTCTTCTGTTTGGTGGATCATAGGAGCTTGGGCTAAAGATTTCTACTAGCACCCAAGGGGGACTCCATCTGCAGCCAAACAAAGTAAAGAAACAACTCCAAATACTAAAAGTAAATATGCAGGAGGGGTCGAATTCCTGTTCTCTAAACAGAAGACACAAACGTGAGGCGAGAGGCAGCACCAAGGCCCTTCTTCTCCACATCATATCCTAAGCGTTTATTTTTCCAATAAAAGACCTCCCAAGAAAAAGCTCTCATTTTGGGGGAATTAGACCCAATCAAATTGATATAACAGCACTATTCAGTGGGAAGAGAAACAAATGATTTAACAGCACTCTAGAATGGGAATCCCATTCCCAAGGGGGGAGCCTAGAATAGCCACTCCCCATATGATGGAATCCCATTCCACCAAGAATAGGAACCAGAACTCCATTCTGTCCAAACAAACAGTTGGAATCGGAATGGGCATTCCAATTCCGATTCCAGTCACCTATTATGGGGAATCAAATGGGCCTTTAATTAGTTTTGTTGTTTTACTCTGTAAATTAATTGTTGCACCTTCTCCATCAGCAATTTTTGGCATTGTATGTTAGTAAGCAAAAGCAACAAAACTGAAATAGCAAGTATACAAAATACAAGTTCCTAGGCCTGAAGAGAAACCTGAATAATAAGAGGGACTAGATCAGGATCGCTCATGCTCAAGTCAATTCTCTCATCCATTCTCAACTTCCCCCCATTAAAACCAAATAGCCTGCAATCATGAGAAATACAAGAATAAAATTATAAGTAGTTCAGAAACATCACAAATAGACCTAACACTTTCCTACACTCAACCTTGTTATACACCAACCAGGATCAAAACAAATTAAGATGAAATACATAAAGCACCTATGCACATTTATCTTACTTCAACTGTTACTAACCACCTCTTGGACAAAGCAATGAGGACCATGACAGAATTAAAGAATGTATAAAGGTATACAAAATGAAGAAGAAAAGCACCATTCCTAGCTTCTTAAGAAAGGATACTTCCAAGTTCATATTCATTTACCTTGTGAACAAAAAACAAAAGGAACTAAGCAATGAAGAAATAAATGAAAAAATTTAGGAAAATATTAGGTAAATAATCCACCAAACCAGCAAAATCGTATGTAACCCCTCCACCTGAGTATTGATTGTAATACACTAAATAGTTAAAACTGCTAAATGATAAAATCCATCCCTTCCCCCCTTTTCTGATCCATAGCAGATAGAAATATTATTAAATATAATGAAAGGATAATGAACAAAGAATGAAGTTGTGCCAAGCACAACAAAGTATAGGCTATCATCTGCTACTCATCCCATTCGTGTGATTGATTATGCCAATGGATCACCCTGGGGGACAGTCCCCAAAATAATCCATTATTATTTATCTCTTCCCTTACCCCAAGGCATTAACCATGGTATTACTTCTCTCTAAGATTGGAAACACATGGAAGGTGCAAAGAACATATTTACCCTGCTATGACCATTCTCTAGGCCAATATTAAGAACTTATGGCTGTGAGGGGTTCTCCATCAAATGCAAATGCTGAAGTTCCTGGTAATGTTACCATTTAAAATGAAGAAATGAAGGCCTTTTCCTCCTTCATTCATTTTACCCCATTTCTGATTTTTACAAGCCAAACTCAGGGTTTCCAGGAACACTTCATTTCACATTTCCAGAAGCAGTTCTAACAGCTCAGCAACCTCAGGGTCTCCAGGTACACGTGTCTTTCAGATTTTTTCTACTAATGACCTTTTTGCACCTATTATAGATACTGAGCAGCCCAAACAATTGCCTGTTATCCTTTAAGTGAGTGAGAGAATGGGGTTAGATGGAAGGGGGAGGAGGGAGGAGGGAATTTAAGGATTTGGAAATCGATTTGTGGTTTTTTAGAGGAGCTTAAGTGAAAGGAAGGGTATACAGAAACTGTTAATGAAAATGAAGTTATAACTGAACAAGAAATAGCTGAAGTGACTGGGAAGATGGGGTTGAATTTGAAGGAGGTGGGGAATGTCAAAGTCTACTCAAGGAAGGAAGGGGAATTAAAAAAAGGAAGAAAAAGATGTCGGAGGTGGAGAGGTTAAAATCAGATGTGGAGGACAACCTAGAATTTAGTGGTAGGGGGGAGAGAAGAAAGGGGTCAAAATTGGGAGTTCCAAATCTGGCTTGGGTTGGTTTTTTACTTAGTTTTCATGAAGATTGTTAGTTGGAATGTCAAAGGTTTGGGTAGCACAAGAAAAGGGTAATAAAGGACTTTAAAAAAGGGAGAGACTAGATATAGTGTGCTTGCAAGGAAACTAAACTTACAGATATGGACAGTAGGTGGATAAGAAATGTGTGGAGCTCTAGAGGTATCAGCTGGACCACAGCACTGTTGTACCTCAGGGGCCGTCACTATGTGGAGAAATGAGCCTGTGGAATCCATAGAATTAATTGGCTGGTTCTGAATTTATCTGAAGTTTAAGAATGTAGAGGATGGATTTACATGGGTATTGACTTGATAGTTAATACCTACAGGCCTTACAGTTATAGAGAAAGGAAGGATTTGTGGGAGGAGCTTTTTGACCACAAACCAAACTCCAAAACCTCTACATCCCACCCAAAATACAAACTTAAAACATGCAGATTCTCCAATCGAAAAAAAAAAGACTGAAAACAACCAGCCAGACTCCCAAATAACCAAACAAATTTGCAATTCTACTCTCTGAACTCTGCAAACAAACTCGTATCCAACACATCCTAAAAAACAAAAAAAAAAAAAATCCAAACCCCAATAACAAAAGCCCAACAACTGAGCACTAAACTCCAAAGTTCAAACTATTACCACACAAGACCTTTGCTCAATTGGTCAGCTATACCATTGTTTGAGCAATAGCTTCTTCACTTCTCTTACAAAGATAATAAGCACCAGTTCACGTTACTGTCATTATTACCAATAGTTGCAAAGAAACTTAGAGAACAAAGAGAACCATTCTTAAGGATGCAATCATGGACTGATAATAAGAATGACAGATCTTTCACAATGACTACCTTTGCACTGTAGGTCAAAGGGGTAATAATCCAAGCACAAAAGGAGAGAAAAATCCCTAGAAGAAACAATCAAGATTCTCCGTATTCTTGAACCAATGGAATTTTTTTACATTTTTTTGCTATGCACATTTTGGTATTTTTAGTTCATTCATGTGATAGAAATTACGGTAAGTTTCAGTTTTCTAGAAATTTATTATTCTTAAGTAAAAAATCAAAATTATTATTTTTAGTAACTTTTGGTCTTACTATTCATAGCAATTCCCATAATTACTATGTATAGTAAAATTAAGCATGTCAATGATACACAGTTATATGAATTTGAGTTCAAAATATAATTTGATTAAACCACATTTGAATCTCATAAAATCAGATCTGTTTATAACTGGAACAGATCTGGATCCATCCCAATTCAATCCAATAACATCCATGTCCCATAATATTAATATGTATATGCATATTTCTATATAAAATTAACATATTTTCATTGATAAAGCTGGTTTACATATCATATTTCCATTAAAGACTCATAAGTTAGGTTTTATGAAAGTTATTTTCAATCCATTCTATTAATAAAATATAATATTTTGGTAACTTTTTAGTTTGATTTATCAATGACATATAATATCCAAATCTGATCAAAATACAACAGATATCTGATTCTAGATGGAATATCAACAGGATTGGATTCAAATCTAGGGTAGATTTACTGAATTCTACCCATGTACACCACCAAGTAAAATCATGATTTACTATTTCTAGTAATTTCTGGTGTCTTTACAATAAATTAGTTTTAATAGAATGATTAGTTATGGGTTATTCGAGTGGTTTATAGTCCTTAAGTGTCCCTATAGGTTGCCTTAGTCTTAAAATAGACATTACCTGGTGTAATGCTAAAATCTCAAGCTGCAAGCATGAAAATGCAAGTTCGAGTCTGAGAGTGGCCACTTTATGCTAAAAATGCCAAAGCCCAATGGTTAGGACCATATCCAGTCTACTCCTCCCAAGTCCCAGGATAGTTGGGATCAACATTGACCCCTAACAATAAAGCCAGCATTGAGTAATGGCTTTAATGTACATCATCTCATGTACATTAAAGCCATCCACATGCTAGAAAGTAGAAACACAAGAAACACAATCAATACAAGATTGAGAACATTATTGAATAAATAATCAAAAGAAAACGAAAGTTTTCATAAATGAAAAACAGCAAGCAGTTATCAATATCCATATGCAACAATCTCCACGCCTCCCCACCCTCAATAAAAAAAAGCAATAAATAGCAAAAAAATATTCAAAACAGGGAAGTCTTGCAGAGGATGAGAGGAAGTATAAAGCATAAAACAGCATACTTATCAACAGCAGTAAAGGGTGAAATGTCTTCATCCTTTGCACTGTTAAGAAGACGGTTTCTTATGTCATCATATTTGATAACAGACATTGAGAGGCTCATATACTGCAACTGATTTAGTGCCATTCGCATATCTCCATTAACTCTCTCTGCAAGTTCTTCAAGTGCAATCTGAAAGGAAAGCAACTTATATTCTCAATATTTATAGATAATGAGCAAATAAATCATTAAGTTCCCTAGAATGATTCTAGTGTAATGTAAACATCAAAATAGAAAATGTACAAATTGTCAGCATCCATCAAGATTCTTTGAAACAAAACAGAAAACAAAGACATAATTTAGAAATTTCAGTCAGGCACGTACCTCATTAACTTGAAGTCCTTCGTTGTTTGCAATTTGCAATAACCTCTTTGCCATCTATCATTTCAAAGCCAATGATTCAGTAGTCATACAAGACTACAGATTTGAACAGTAAATAAAAGAAAATTAGAAGAGAAGAAAAGAAAAGAGAAGAAGAGAGATGGAGAAGAGGAACTCATGGAAGGGTTTTAGGAGAAGAGAGTGGTTGGTTGTGTTAAAACAGTCGCCCCACCCTTTGAATTTATATACATAGTTTCCTAATTGTAAAAGAACTTTAATGCTTACATGGCAAGATAAGATAATTAAAAACTAATCCTAGATAAGATAGAATAGGATTAAAACTAATCCTGCTAGGAAAGCTGATCCTAATCAATGACTTAATTAAATCTAAGTACAACTCAGACTGTCACACGAGTACACTAATGTGGGGCCCACACTTTCCTACGCTCCCCCTCAAGTTGGGAGTAGATGTTTGTCATTTCCAACTTGCATAGGTCTTCTTCTAACTTCTTTCTTGAAACAGCCTTGGTGAGAAGGTCTGCAAGTTGCATGTCGAAGGTGATGTAGGGGAGGCATACTTCTTGAGATGTAACCCTTTCTCTAATAAAATGCCGGTCCACTTCAATATGCTTAGTTCTATCATGTTGTACTGGATTATGGGCTATATTAATGGCAGCCTGGTTATCACAATACAACATTAGGGGTTTCTCATAAGCAATACCCAATTCCTCAAGTACCATGGACCTATATTCTCAGCCACACCATTTACCATGGACCTATATTCAGCTTCAGCACTGGAACGAGAGACAACGCTTTGTTTCTTACTCTTCTAGAAGACCAGATTACCCCCTACAAAGGCACAATATCCAGAGGTAGATCTTCGATCATCAACACACCCAACCCAATCAACATCTGTGTAGACTTCTATCTTCATGTGGTCATTTTTCTTGAACAAAATGCCTCTGCATGGAGACCTCTTCAAATATGCTAATATCCTCTCAACTGCAAGGAAATGAGTAGTTCTGGGAGAGTGCACATACTGACTTACTACACTGACTGCATAACCGATGTCAGGTCGTGTGAGGCAAAGATAGAGAAGTTTTCCAACTACCCGTTGGAACATAGCTTTATCTTCAAGAGGCTCTCCACCCTCTACACTAATCCTGTGGTTTTGTTCAATAGGTGTGTCCGCAGGCTTAACTCTCAACTTTCCTGTTTCTTCTAGCAGATCAAGGACATACTTTCGTTGAGAGACAAAAATCCCATGCTTGGATCTAGCTACCTCAATGCCCAAGAAGTATCGTAGTCCCCCCAGATCTTTCATCTCAAACTCTTGATGAAGAAGTTGCTTAAGAGACTCAATTTCACCAGTATCACTCCCTGTTACTCCAATATCGTCCACATACACAGCAAGCAAAGTTACGGAAGAATCCACTCTCTTAATAAACAAGGTGTGGTCTGACTGGGCCTGCACATATCCGAACCTATCAAGGGCTCGTCTGAATCTGTCAAACCAAGCTCTGGGGACTGTTTTAGTCCATATAAAGCTTTGTTCAACCGAAAAACCTTTTTTTCTATCTCCATACCATAAAATCCATGAGGCAACTGCATGTAAACTTCTTCCTGCAAGTCTCTATTGAGAAAGGCGTTTTTCACATCCATTTGATACAACGGCCAAGAGTAACTAGCTGCAAGAGATAATAGGACTCTGATAGTGGTCATCTTTGCTACTGGTGCAAAAGTTTCTAAGTAGTCAATACCATATGTCTAAGTAAATCCTTTTGCAACTAACCGGGCCTTATACCTTTCAACAAAACCATCAGCATTATGTTTCACAGTGAATACCTATCTACATCCAATCGGTTTCTTACCTTTAGGCTGATCAACTATCTCCCAAGTATTGTTTCTGATGAGGGCATCCATTTCTGCTTTTATTGCATTTTTCCATTCTAGTACTTCCTATATTGTTCTGGGAATGGGAATATCAGCAATGGATGCAAGAAAAAACTTATAGGAGGGAGACAAATGATCATAGGACAAGAATTGAGAAATGTTGTGAGTTGTGGATGTGGTACAACGACGCTTGCCCTTACGAACTACTATGGGAAGATCAAGATCATCTAATGAAGGTGAAGGCTCCATGTTGAGATGTCTCACATCTATAGTATTTGTGGTACCTGGATCTGGATCTGCAGAGGAGACTATGATTGGCTTGCATTACTGATGTCCGAAATCAACCTATCTCCATCGTTTGTGATAGACTCTCACATCCCTGCACCTTTGACAACCTTCCCCATTACACCCTTCTTCACTTAATGGGATTGGAAAAGGAACTTCTGATGAGCTGCTCCTAGCCTCACTATTCTTCCTCTGAGGAGAAACCCTTGGATAATAGGGTTTATCCTCAAAGAAGGTGACATCCATTGAAACAAATCTTTTTCCAAAAGTGGGTTCATAACAACAATATCCCTTTTGAGTTTGGGCATAACCGAGGAAAATACATTTAGAGGCCTTAGGATCAAGTTTGGAGTGATGGGGGCCAAGGATTTGAATGAAGCAAGTGCACCCAAAGGTTTTGAGTGGAATGGTAAACAATTCTTTATCAAGGTATAAAAGGGTAAAAGGAATTCATATCAAGAACCCGTGAGGGAATCCGATTGATGAGATAAACTGCTGTAAGAACAGCATCCCCCCAAAAACGTATAGGCACATTTGAGGTAAACATAATGCCTCTAGCTACCTCTAATATGTGTCTATTCTTTCTTTCAGCAACCCCATTCTGTTGTGGTGTATGTGGGCAGGTACTCTGTTGGATAATCCCATGTTCAAGCATGTAGAAGGCTAATGGGTTTGCAAAATATTCTTTTGCATTACCGAATCTAAAATTTTTAATTTTAACCCCAAATTGGGTTAAAATCATTTGATGAAAGATCCGGGTTAATGCAGGAACCTCATCTCAAAAACGCATAAGATAAACCCAAGAAAACCGAGTATAATCATCGACAAATAACAGGAAATATTTGTACCCTCCCATGGCTAAAGTATGATAGGGTCCCCAAATATCAATATGCACAATTTCAAAAGGAATATTGCTTCTGCTATTACTTAATGAATAAGTTGTCCTATAATGTTTTGCAAGCTCACAACTTTCACACTTCAAACTAGACATCTAAATATATTCAAATAAACTAAGAAACAAACTCTTCAAGGCCTGAAAGGATAAATGACCCAGCCTATTATGCCAAAGCATCACCTGATCAACAGACTGAGAAACAAAGGATTTCTTAGTTTCACTATCTTCCTAATGAGCATTTCCTCCAAGTAGGTAGATTCCATTTGTCTCACGGTCAGTCCCAATCACCTTCCTCGTCTCCAGATCCTGAAAAACACATCGATCCGGAAAAAAAAGTTACTGAACAATTCTGTTTTTTTGTAATGCTACTAACTGAGAGCAAGTTAGTATTAAGCTTAGGAACATGCAAGATAGAGGATAGAGAAATGGCATCAGACAACTTGATGTCTCCTTTGCCAGAAATAGGAACAAGGGATCCATCAGTAATGGACAATTTGTCTTTACCAGAAGATAAATGATAGGTAGAGAAAAGTGATGGCAAGCCAGTCATATGATCAGATGCTCCTGAATCTATTATCCAATAATGTTATGTATTACCTGGAGCTGAAGCATGATAAGCTGAGGCCCGATTACCTGATTGAGCAAAGGATGAGGTTGAAGGAGCTGATGGTGGCTGAGGAGATGAGATTGAGTTACTAACTTCACTTTCCAATTGTGTCAGAGCAACTCGGACAGCAGCTAGGGTGTCTAGAGAAGTGCCTCTTGAGGTTGTTGAGGCTGCACTATCAATGTTAACAGCCATATTAGCATTCCCCTTTTTGTTTCTGAGTTTTGTTGGAACCAGATATGGATATAACTTCCAACAAGTGTCTTTAGTGTGTTTAGGTTTCTTGCAATGTTCACACACTAGGTCTTTCTTAGCCTATTTCTTCATATCCTTTTCCTTATCTCCCCCAGACTTGGGTTTAACTGCTGCCAGGGCAGATTCGAAAGGCTGTTGCTACAACATAACCTTTCTCCTAGTCTCCTCACTGTGCACTAGGGAATAGGCTTGAGATAGAATCACACCCTCTCTTGTTAACAGCTACTGTCTTATAATATCATACTCAAAATTTAGACCAACTAGGAACTCAAATACTCTGTTAGTTTCAACTTGTCTTTTGTGTCTGTGCATCTCTTTGACTTTCCCATTCTATAGTCTCAAGATGGTCAATTTCATGCCACAGAGATTTTAGGGTTGAAAAATAAATCGAGACCTGTTTCTCTCCTTGTCTGAGATTTCTAACTTCCAATTTCAGCTCATAAGCCCTAGCAACATTAAGGGGCTGAGAGTAGGTATCTTTCACAACATCCCATATTTCTTTAGTTGTTTTTGCCCATAAGTAATTTCGGCCGATGTGTGGCTGCATGGAGTTGCACAGCCATGTCATCACCAACTAATTTTCCTGAATCCACCTAGCATAAGTGGGATCCTCCTTAGTTGGTTCCTTCACATCCCCCAACAAGTAGTTCAGCTTTCCTCTCCCCCCAATGGCCATCATGGCTGATTGGGACCACTCTAAGTAGTTTGAACCATCAAACTTTACAGTTGTAATCTGGAAGGTGTTTTTAGACATGCTAATTGAACCAGTCCCAAAAACACCCTCCCCTTGGCTTTTAAACTCCATTAATAATCAGTAAAAAGACTTCCTAATTATTGTACCAATCGGCCTACTGGGTTTGCAGCAGGTAATAGCAGTAATTAAAAAAAAAAAAATCTGTTACAGTCGGCCTATTGAGACTAATAGGCAAGAAATAACAGTTCTGTTGTAACAACCCTGCTGAAACAACTCTTCCAGAGAGCAAAGAAGTCGAGGGAGACAAGTCCTGAAGCAATAACAACCCTGAAACTTGAGGGTTTTCTCTTAAACCCTTACAAGAACTACAGAAATCTTCTGGAGTTTTTTTCGTACCTCTTATCAAGGTATTCTTACTCCCGATCTTAAGAAAGATTGAAAAACTTACCAGAAAATTCTGAAACGCTCTGATCTTGAACCAGAAATCTTCTGAAATTCTGACTGCAACCTCTAGCACTGATCAAACAGAAATCCTTTGAAATTCTGATCGCCACCTCCAGTACTGATTAAGGGTTGATCTTGATCCTTTTCTCTTCCTCTGATTCTTCCTAGTTATCAAGGATACAATCCAATCTTTGGACTGTTGCTGTAGATAACCTCTAAGAATCAGCCGAAGAGAGCTTTCTCTATTCTTCCAGCCCTAGGAAACTCTCATGTAATCGGCTGGATCAAACTCACACTAGATTCCCTAATCCAAGCTCTGATACCAAGTAGTCGTACAAGACTACAGATTTGAATAGTAAATAAAAGAAAATTAAAAGAGAAGAGAAGAAAAGAGAAGAAGAGAGATGGAGAAGAAGAACTCGTGGAAGGGTTTTAGGAGAAGAGAGTGGTTGGTTGTGTTAAAACAGCTGCCCCACCCTTTGAATTTATATACATAGTTTCCTAATTGTAAAAGAACTTTAATGCTTACATGGCAAGATAAGATAATTAAAAACTAATCCTAGATAAGATAGAATAGGATTAAAACCAATCCTAATAGGAAAGCTGATCCTAATCAATGACTTAATTAAATCTAAGTACAACTCAGGCTGTCACACAAGTACACTAATGTGGGGCCCACACTTTCCTACAGATTCAATGTTAGCATTCCACATTAATTGATAATCGACAGATATTAGACTTTTATTGCAGAACTGAAAAAAGGAAGAAAAAAAAAAGCTCCCAAGTATCCAAAGAGGTGAATAATTATAAACTACAAATACAAACAGCCTTAGCAATAGGCAAACTTCACTCTCTTCCTGCCCACCACAGGGACCAATGGTTTGGCAGACTCAGAGGCTTAGAACAGAAACATCAGCATTCCATACAACCACAGCCTCTGCCTCTGGTACTTTTGGTAACACCTTTTAAATCCTCATCCTTTCTCTTCTCCTTCCCCTTCAATGGCTTTGACAAGTAGCCATGTCTGTGCAACATAGTAACTAAGCAATATCTAGGTGAGTTTCAACCTCACATGCACAAGAAACTTCAACAGACGTTTTCTCCATACTTGCACAAGAATCAATAATCAAGAAAATGAGTTTTTAGTGAGCATGGAGTGGCATCCCCCTACCCTATTGGAGCAACTCATCAGCCTCATACAAATCTCATCCTTCTAAACCTAACTGAAGGGACTGAAAAGCAGCAACTTGCAGTAAGCATGCAACAATGAGATGCAGAAGAGAGAATAGAAATCATGAGTACATAAGGTGAAAATACACTCAAACATGATATTTGAGTAAATAAAAAGGAGTTTACCAGAAAAGAAAGAAAATAAACAAGAAATTTAAATAGCAGAAATGCAAAACCTGTTGTTTTGTCGGTTTCCGGAAAGTAAGGACCAAACAATAGTTGACAAGGCTTTTTAGTTTCTGACTGTAGCGATCATTACAGATACAGATGATAGGAATCTTGGATATCTTGATGCTAGCGATAAGATCAGCCACACCACCTCTATCTCCAGCGGACATACCATCAACCTCATCCATAATTAGCACAGTTTTAGAATGCTTTGACCTGCAACTCCAATTAACAAGAAATATGTAAAAAATTAGGAGACATGTCTTCTTCCTGAAAGTGCAAAAAAGAATAAAATAAAAGGATATTTTTGCTGTGGGAAATCCTAAGCAAGTGACACTAACCGATCCAAATTAGCACTCAGAGCTTCATTACTAACAAGTTCCTTTACGGAATTAGCCGTGCTTCCACCAATTCCTTTGAAAATTTTGGCATCAGCCTTTCCACGATTATCACTAGCATTAACCTAGACAATTAAAATATAGCTTAAAATGGGGAAGTAAGCACGATGCATTTAACATTCAAACACTACTTGGATAAACATTTGCACTCTTGAAATGGAAAAGTAGTCGAGAATTGAAGACCTCAATTGCTTGGAACCCCAGCATCTGGCTGACAACCTTTGCTGACGTAGTCTTCCCTATTCCAGGTGTTCCACTTATTAGTACAGCCTTCTTAGCTCCACCATCATTCTGCTTCTTCCCTTTCCCTTTTTTCGCAGTGTGAAGGAATTGTTCATTCCAATTGGCCAACCAGTCATGAAGCTGCTTAACCTATACATAGATTTACATGACAATCTTACTTCATATGTGTTGCTCCAAATACAGATACATAAACCCAGCAACTGGACTGGTTCAAAGAAAAGACGAGGAACTAGCTCACATACAAGTGACTGATTGCCAATAATATCATTTGGAAGCTTTGGCCTATACTTCTCTGTCCATGTCAGTGAATGTCCAACAGTTTGGCCATTCTGCTTAGCTAGAGAAACACCTGAAGCAGAATTGGTTGGACCAACCTTTCTTGCCAAAGCACTGCCTCCTTGATCTTTTATAGAAACCAGTAGAACAAGGTCAGAAGGAATATCATAAAGTACAAAAGAAATTAAGCAAAAAATAAATGTTAGGATTTCCATGTCAAAGAAATTTAGACCAAGATCACCAATACCTAAACAATAACAGGGGGAAAAACATATGCAACTTTTAAAAGGTGTGGAACTTTATAATGTTAACAATTATGAAGATATCAGTACCTGGACATCTTGCATGCCTACAGATTCAAACATAGAGATATGCATATGTGCATATACTAGTCAACACCCCCCCCCCCAATGTGCCCATAATTATTTTGGTGAAAAGAATAGACTAATTCACAGTTACCCGTTATATAACATCATTGGGCCCCCACTCATATCCATCTAGAGTATTAAAACAAGGAGACGTATCTCCCACTTCACTGACACATTGATACTCATGTGAGTTTCTTGCATTTCTATTTTTACCTTTTTCACTTTTTTCTATTTTTCTTTTTTGACTTTTCTCCGTTTTTCCCTTCATAACATGGCAACCCTCCATTTAATCAGACATGGCAGAATCTTTATATTTTCTTTTTTATAAGTAATCTCTATATTTTCTCTGCATGTGGTCCATGCTAATCTTCATAATGTGTTCAACTAGAGTCTCATTATTTTGGACTCCCTTACCCAAGTTTACAATCTTATTTAGATCTAGTTCTAAAACAGGAATATCTGATGCAAACAAATGGAAACAGACAAATACATACATCATATATATACATATATGTAAATTCTTGAATATTATATAAATATTGTCACTTAATGCCACATAATGGCAGTTTTGTCCTTTTACCTCAATTGAAAGAAAAAAGGGCTGGCTAGGTAAAACAATAAATGCTGATTCCGTAAAGCTCATTGATATAGACCCAGTGCACAAGGTACCCGGCAATGCAGGGTCTGGGGAGGGACAGATGTAGACAACCTTACCCTTGTACAAAGAGGCTGTTTCCAAGATTTGAACCCTGGTCAACCAGGTCAGTTATATATTTATGTAATTTTAGACAATAGGGATTTGGTCATTTACATATCGTCTGTGGGGCCTCTGGCATTAGAGTTTGTCTAGCCATAGTTTAGTTGTTTTTAAAATTTCAGACTGATTAATCAAGTAATTCAGAGCTACTGAGTTTTCATACCATAGTGGCAAACTGGCAATTCTGTAATTCATCCTAGTTATAGTAGGATTGAATTGACCACTCCAATAGTCTCCATATGTGTGTCTAGTGCAAAAACATGGAGCAAGGAAGGAATGGAGCTTATTTGAGTTCTTATAGTTTGTGCTACATGAGATGAGCATGTTGCATAGACTTTCCTAAATGGACAATGTGTCATGTCAGACACAAATCTGAGTCCACCACTCCACACTCCAATTTCTGAGGGCACTTCTACACAACACTTCCTCTCTTTCTACTAGCTTATTTGACACAAATGAACGGCTAATCTACAAGACAAATCCATTTGTAATATCTAACATCATCACTTAGCAACAAAGGCATATAATGTTAGAAGCTTAGAATTCAAAAAAAAAAAAGAATTATTCTAACAGTATATAATTTTCCATAGACGTCTCAACAAGTCCACGTTTTCTCATCTTACCATGTCAGACTTTGGACACACATCAATGATGCAGACAGATAATGAAAGCAAGGAAAGAAATCATGGAGAATTAAATCAGTTTTTCAATTCCAACACCAATTTCAAATTTTTTGGATGATAGAATATTGGTATTGTTTCAGTTTTTCCATCTATTTTCTAGTTGGTCTCTTAAGAAATAAGAATAGTGTTCTGTTTTTTAGAACTTTTTGTTATTTCAAAATTACTATTTATGGAAACTTTCAGACGTACTCTTTACAGTAATTCCCATAACTACTATTTTGGTAAACTCACATTTTACTATAGTTGTGAAACACACCTGCAATAATTCAGAAAATATAGAAAAAGAAGAAGAAAGAAAGGTTTCAGCAGAAGTTTGTGGAAGAAGAAGAGAAGGGAAGAGAGAAGAGAAGAGTCCGATCCTTTCTCTCCAGCCCCCCCAAGATGTCTTTTATTCTCTTAATTTTAAACCGAGTACAACTCCCTGGATGCCCTTAATGGGGCGGCCAGCACTAAAGAAATAATAAAACAAAACAAAAGAGGCCCATAACTAAGGCCCAAAGCAGAAAGAACATAAACTTAAAACATAACTTAAAAGAGATAAAAACACTAAGGCCCATTCGTCCCATTCTCACTACACTCCCCCTTAAGCTGAGCATAGATGTCAATCATGGTCAGCTTACTTACATAATTTGTTGAAGCTTTACTTTCAGAACTCCCTTAGTCAGAAAATCTAATAGCTGCTCTTCTGATGAAATGAAAAGAAGGCACACCTCTCCTGAAGCCACTCTCTCCCATAAAATGCCTTGAGGCACGCCTCCAGAGAGGTGCCCCTAAAATGCCTTGAGGCACATGCCAAAGGCATTGATGCCTCTAAGGCATATGCCCCATGTGCCTCATGCAAAAAAGAAAGGAAAGAAAAAAAAAGAAACAAGAAACAAGATACCAGTCATAAAAAGGAAACAACAAAAAACAAATGAAATCCTCCTTCCTCTTCTTTTTTTTTTCTTCTTCCTCCTCTCAAGGAGGCTTGTTCTTGAGAGGTTTATGCCTCTTGCATTCTGAACTACGCCTCACACCTCTAGGTAGTGGAACACCTCGAGTCACGCCTCTGCATTTCAAAACATTGTTCTACATCTACTGGTATTACAGTTGTCAAATCCTACATCAACTTCGTATCAGAACATCAGTCCCACATCCATAGTTGTCAAGGCGATGCCTTGGCAACAAGGCACACTTGGAGGCTTGCCTCGCTTAATTGCCAAGCAGTTTTTTTTTTCTTTTGATAAATAATCGCCAAGCAGTTTTGTACCCTCAGTTTTCCATTTTACTTTTCCTAATATGTAATTGTTTTATGCCTCAACCAAAAAATGGAGTAACTCAGAAGTTAAATATGCTATATTGCTATATGATGTCCATAGCCAGAAATCCCTTCTCCTGATACATCCAATACTGAAGGAAACATGAAAACATATACCAAGATCTCAGAAAGACAAGGTATCTCCTCAATCAGAGTTTACACCACAAAAGATTTTCAGAGTTCCACAGACAAGTAATCTATACAAATAATGAAATTTTAATATAAAATGAAAACAACTTCTCAATACCCTTTCTTTCTACTTTCTTAGGACTTCTCTTTGGCAGTGATTCCACAGCCTTATCTGCAGTTTTCTTCTTTGGTTCCTCTCGCACAGGTGGTTTTGCAGGTTTTGATGCACGGATCAAGTCAAACAATCCATCCTCGGTTAAAAAGGCAGTACTACACAAAATTTCAGGAGTTCATAAAAAACAAGATGACAAGTAGAAAAGAGAAAAAAAAAAGACCAGTTGAGGAAATCTCAAGTCACCAACCCCAGCTCTTTAGCTTTTGTGGATTTCCGCCCACCAATATCTTCATCAGCAAGAAGATAATTCTGTGAATATAAGATTTCAGTCATACATAGATATAATTAAGTTAGACTAAAGAAAAAATTAAGATATAAGTATAAATTTACCGTTTTTTTGCTGACAGATCCAGTAACACGCCCACCATGCCGCTTAATTAAGTCTTCTGCTTCTTCCCTTTCCAAACTGTCATTGCAGCCAAAGGCCGATATTAAATTTGAATATAGTTTACAAAACCATTTTAAGAAATGTTAGAGAGATACAAGCAGTAGTCAAGTAAAGATTTCACCCAACTGTTGGCACATTTATATATATATGGAGAATATGAAGAGAGTATTACACAACATGGCACAATAATGTCAATCTTTAATGTATAAACTACATCATCCAAATTTCACCACCTTAGTTAAATTGGTTTATGTTATTTTGTGAAAGATGAATCCCAAGTTTCGATAATGGTTTCTGTTAAGTTGGTTCTACAATTGGTGAGGATATTATTGTCATTGTAGTTAATCTTACAATTGAGAACCTAATCAGGAGCATTCTTGTAATTGTACTCTTCACATATAAATAACAAATGGTTGGGGTGTGGGAACCAAGACTTATATTCACATCTCCCTTTTCAAATTTCTCTCTTCTTTTCTTGTCTCTTCTTTTATTCCCACACTATTGACTTTCAGAAATCAATCTACACAACCTGTTAACTTGGTATCAGAGCAGGGCTGATTGCTTTTCTCTCGCGGTACTACTTACATCACCATCTGTACAGAAGATGTCATAGGTGAATGGCAGACCTGCAACACCCCTTCAGCTAACCCTAGATTCGGGTACAATGATTTAGAGGGGTTTATTTATCAATAGTTACAGTCTGTAATTTTGGAAGACAGCTTCTTTTGGTTTGTTGTTAGGATTTTATTGGTAGGCATTTTAGTTTACATATGGGGATCTTTGCAATGGATTTGCAGGGGTGCCATGTAGCGATTATACTATTCTACCATTTTCTATTTGATGACATCCTAATATCCTATCACCTAGCTTTGTATCTTCATTTTTCTTTTAATAAATTCTTTCCTTTGTTAACAAAGAAACAACTAATGTTCCAAATTGCAAAAGAATAAAAATTACTAAATAGTTTCCATATACTGCTGTGAATTTCTAGTAGGTGACAGGGTTGCCTTAAATAATTCAAAGAGTCTTTTTGATCATAGCTTTCTCCCTCTAAAGAAAGGGGGGAAGATGCTATGGAGGTGCACCAGAGTTATCATCCTTCGGTTAATTTGGGAAGAAAGAAACACAAGAATCTTCAGGAAGGAGGCCCATACAAAAGAAGTTTCAATTAAGAATACTGCTGTGAAACTGGCCAATTGGGTCAAAGCAACACCCCAATAAGATTAACACTTGTGATTTGTTTCAGAAAAGGAATCCAAGTTGGTGTCTCTCTCCTAATGTCCGTTGCCTTTGTCTTGATAGTGATGGCATTCCTATTCGTTTGCTTCTCGTATTTGGAAATGGTTTTCTTCTCTCATTGGTTGCAGGTGGACACCCCCTGGCCCCTTCTTGCGTTGCAGGTTTTTTTTATGCAAATTTTTTGAGACAACAGAAGAAAAGGGGAACAGTAATGTGGAGAGCAGAGAGCTACAAGAGCAGCAATAGTTTGGGTTTTGGGAGGAAAGGAACAATAGAACCTTCCAAGAGCATGCCAAATCCTGGAAAGATTTAATTGACAACATTACTTTCAAGGCTGCACACAGGTTAAAGACTTTGGATTTGTTCAAGGATTCCTTTGATGATATTATAAGGAATCGGTTTGTAGTAGCAAATTCTTCATCCTTGAAGACTGTGATTCAGGAAAAGTGGGTTCCTCCAATAAACTTAGGATTTAAAGTAAACTTTGATGGAAGCTCCTCCAAAAACCCCCTATTTGCCAATGTTGCTCATTCATTCATTCTAAGAAAACTATAAAAGATATTCTTAAAAGACAAATAGAATAATAATTTTTTTATAGAAATTAAAAATTTAAGATTCTGATATGGACTTGTTTGCTTGCCTCAAGGGGTTTGGTCGGGGGTCCGGGGCGGAGTCCCCGGCCCAGCAGCTTGACATAAAAGGCAAATAGAAAAAATGCACAAATTTTCAAAAGGGACATGCCAATGTGCCTCGCCTCTTTTAAATCACTGGTCAAAGCTGCACTATGGAGAGGTCACAGGCTGGAACACGAACAGGTTGAAGATGGTCTACGTGGCCTGAAAAGATTGATTAATTCAAATTGCCAGCAGTTTGTCAAGTTTGGAATTGGATAACCTGAAGAGGGAAAGAATTGTGCTCCAGTTTTCTAAAAATAATGCGATTTTGAGAAATGAAGAAAAATATTGGAGCAAGTGCTATGCATAGGGGCAGTCTACTGGAGTAGATGGAAAGCCTTTCACCTTGAAGAGTTTTAACATGCTAGGCAAGAAAAAAGAGTTAAAGAGACTGATGGGTGTAGCCGTGTAGCCCGTGTAGGGGGTTTGGGTGATAAATGTGATAGCGAAAAGTCGGGCACATGTGGGGACAGAGCTGTTTCAGGAAGAGTCGAGTTATCAGGCATGTGAATTAGGTAGAGTGGAAAGTGTGATGCAATTCAAGTAAACCAAATTCTAGATCACAATTGGCCAGTTTAAACCAGGAGGCACGTGGTTACTTAAATAGTCACATGTGTGGGAATGGGGAGTTAGCAGATGCTACATAAGATGTATCATCGTCCCTTCCTGTCTTAAGTAGTGGGAATTGTTTTAGCTTTCCGGTTCACAGCAGCCTTCTCCAAGTTGCAGTTTAGCTATTCCAAGGAAGATAACCCTGTAGTTATTGGAAGGAAAAGTGATGTAGAGATCCGTGTCTCAGCAAGAAAAAGTAAGGGTTCTACTACTCAGAAGAAGCGGGCAAGTGAAATTCTTAGAAAGGCTAAGTGATGATCTAGAGTGGGGCTTTGAGAAAGGAAAAATATTTGAATTTTAACAAGCAGTTCAGAAAAAGATTTGTTCGAGATGGAAAAGAGAAGGGAAAATGTTTGGAATTGGCAAAATACCCTTCAATTTTTGAGGATGATTACATTCGAAACTCCAAAGGATGAAGGATGCTTACAGAAAAATAAGGAAGATAAGTTCGCTGCTCCAAACCTTGGGTTGGAGGAATGATTACAAGTATGTTCAGGTACAAGCACACCGTAAAGGAATCATTAGTTGGCACAGATGTGTTGGAGTCTGAAACTCTCATCTCTACAGAAAAGTTACAGGAAGGTACTGAGAAGGAGGAATGGATAAGGGTTTATGGAGATCAAGTGAAGGAAGTTTTGGTGTTTAAACTTTGAAGGAGATGGCAGGAAAAGATGGGAAAGGAGCAATGAAGGATGGTGGGGGTGTCACAATGGAGGAGGGTTTGGATATTGGGTTTTGTGGATGCAAGGAGGGTGAAGACATATAAGCATAAAAAAAAATTCCAGAACAAAACCATTATCAGAAGGTGAAGAAAAAGAAGCTGGAGGTGGAAACACTGAGACTGAAATGAGTGACAATAACTTGAGTGAGTCTTCGGAGGAAGATGTGGTCATCAATGAAACTCATGAAGTTGAAGGCACAATTGATTTGGAAACAGTGGTAAATACTGATATGGAGGTCAGCAGAGTTCTGGGTTTATTCTTTATAGGAGGAGAGGAAGCTGTCAGGAATTAAGGAGCTGAAAGAAAAATTTGGTAGGCCTATGATGCCTCATGCCTTTGAAGGATAAAGAAAAGAATATATCACATTTTGTGGCAGTTTGCAATAATGAAAGGAATATTGAGAGATTCAAGAGAGTTTGAGAGCAGTTGAAGAAGAAGGAGATGGACCTGAAGGGAATGCTGAGTTGGTAGAAATATCAGTTCTTTGAAAAGGAAGCAGCATTGGAACTAGAAAGGATTAATAGAGATGGGATTGTTTGGGATCAGGATTATTGAGAAAGTGAAGAAAACAAAGAAATTCAACAAGATAAGTAGAGATGAGTGCGTCCAAGATCCAGGAAAATCTGTTTAATCTGTTATTGTTGTTGGGGGTTTTGTTGAACTTTTGGTGGCATGTAGAGTTACTAGAGTAGATAGGGTTTGAAAATGGGTTGATCTTGGGCTAGTGGTTTCTTCTTTTGAGGTTTTTAATGTATTTGGTGTGGGATTGATCTACTTGTTTGGGATTTGGATAGTTTGCATAGGAGAGGGAGGGTTGTTGGTTTTTTTCTTTTGTTCACTTGTGGGTGATATCTTGTCACCTCTCTTGTACTCCTCTTTTCTCTTAATAAATTTTATTTTTTATTTATTATCAAAAATATTAAGGAAATCAGATGGCTGACAAGAAACATAGAGGTACATCACAGTGGGTTGAGAGGTTGATAAATGGTATGTTTAATGCCTTAAGCACACAAGGGGTGAATAGGAGCTTTACATAAAATACGGGCCTGGTCGGTTGCTCTAGCCTATATTTGGGTTGTATGAAAGACTAGCAGTCTAGTACATACTTCTGTACATATTAAATGAAATAACTTAGTTGCTTACAAAAAGAAAAGGAAAAAGAAAATAGAACTAGGGTCATGGTGCTGTAGGCACACTTGGAGAAAAGTGAGACATCTAGCAAGGGAGATGATAGCTACTTTCACATAGAAACAAAGATCAGCAAATGGCATGGCGGATGCACTAACCAGACATGGGATTATCAGGAATAAATTGTATTGGGGATCCACTGATAGTGAATCATAACAAGACGTGTAATCAAAGAAAGGGGATAGGTTCGGTAGGGAGATTGGCTGCCCAATGCAATTTGTGTGGTGTTTGGCACAATCAGTTTTGTATATACCATCTACTCTTTTCTGCAATTCAATAAAATTGTTCTCATGTTAACAATCAAAACATAGAGAAAAAGTATTATCTTTAACAGAAAATAAGGCTTCAAATTGAGAGAAAGAGAGAAACAGGACCATGTTGCCAAACCCATCAAAGTAGGACAGGAGAAATGATAATGATGACAATATTCCTAAAAGGCTATGTATATGAACTGCTTATTACATATGCAAAAACAATACCTGTCAAGAGTCCCACTGATCACAAAAGTCAGACCAGCTAAACAATCAGGAGCACCCTCTGGAATTTCCTGGAACGCAATTAAAAGAATACATCAACATCCATGTATCAAAATTCACAAAAAAGTACAGTCATTCCATTTAACAAATTAGGAGGTGCTAAACTTTTCTCACCTTTTCTCCCTTGTGTGGAGGATCTTTCCTTTCACCAAAATTCATGAATCCACCCCTACCACCACCTCTCCCTCTTCCACCAGCTGGTGCTGCTGCTGCACCTCTTCCACCAGCACCCCTTCCAGCAGCCTTAAAAGGAGACTTGACAGTTTTATCATCAGGGACCTCTTCATCACTCTCATCACTATCCACAGATTTCTGAGCAATACCCTTGCCTGACCCACTCTTCAGTTTCTTGGTTGGAGTGTCCTTGGCTGAGTTTTTCTTCAAGCTGGGCAAGACAAAGTCCTCATCCTCATCACCCTTATGAACTCTCTTTGCAGATGGGGGTTTCACATCACAATTCAATTCCTCCCTACTCTTCTCAGTCTTTCTTTTAGCTGGAGTGCACTCTATCTCTTTTTCATCTTTTGGCTTCTGGGAATCAGTAGCAAAATATTTGCTAGTTTTCCTTCTTCCTGAACCTTCTCCACTTTCATGTACCTGTGTAAAGATTGTAATTTCAGCCTTTCATGGAGAATAAACTGAAGAAAATGAATAAACACTTTCTAGTGTTCCTTTGAAACAATTGAAAAAAAGAAACCTAATCTTTAAAACAATGAATCAAGAAATCAATTATAGTAATGTTTATTCCATTCCCTTCAAGAAGAGCTAACCATATATTTCAACCAAACCCATCATCTCTACAGAAAGATTAAAATCACATAGCAATAGGACACTCATTAAATCTTGTGGGAGGAATAGAATAGAAGGACTTTCCTTTATAAATGCCAATCAAAGGAAGATTTGATGAAAATATCTTGGTAAGGATGATAAATCAGGTTAAAACTTCCCCAATTTTTGTGTGTTTCTCATTTAATGATAAGAGGGGCCGGCCCAATTGATAAGGGGGTCTTTTTGATGGACCAAGTAGGATCGGGTCAAAGGCCAGCTCGACCCTACTGCGGTCCAAATCTATTCCTTTTCTGAACAGGGAATTTTCAATGGGGAGCCAAGTCTTAGAAATCACAGAGACCGCCAAAGAAGGTTTGAGACAACTTTAAGGGAAGACAACGAACATATCTATAAAAAAAAAGGAAGACAACGAACATGTTTGGAAGGGGTGAATAGCCGAATACAAATGCTTTGTTACGAGATATTCCTACACCAATGGTGAGTGCTCTAAGAGTAGAAGAGATGCTTTCCAAGAAAACTTGAGAGGTTGAATGATTTTGGAGAAGACGTGTGAATAGAATAAGGGTCACGAAGGTCTGGGAGTTGTTTCCACTTCACCTCGTGAAGGAAGAAAAGGTGAGGAAGACTCTTTTTTGCTTTTGGGGGCAGAGAAAGTGCGTGTTGACTGCATTGCCTTCAGTTGCAGTGTTGTGGAACACAAGTGTTCATCAGAGTTAGGCTAAATTCATTCTTCTATTTCTCTGAATTTAATATGGGGAAGAAATTTTAGAGAGTATACAACCAAAGGATTTGGGGGCTGATTCTCTGTTGACCGAGGGCATAGATCAGGTTCTAGTGCTGAATCCAGATGTCGGTGGGAGAAGAATAGTGAAGGATCAAAAGTCCTATCCAGCTTTGATTCCTATTCCGGAGGAGAAGGGGTTAAAGAATGGGGCAAGAACTAAAGGAAAAAACCCAAACTGATGGGAGAATGAAAGTTTATAATGGGAAAAGAACATATAAAACAAGACTTTTCACAGAGACCGTAATTGAAAGGATTCAAGATGGTGCTATTTCTTCCAATGAGGAGAGAAGTCTAAGTGAGGAGGATGAGGAAGAAGTTTGTATAGATGAGACTCATCAGATTGACACAGTGAATAAGGTTGTAGACACAGCCGGGGATGTAAGTAAAGCTTTAGGCTTGTTTATTTTGGGAGGTGAATCATTTACAAGGAAAATGTTCCAAGATCTGGAGGAACACTACGTGATGCCTTAAAGGGAGAATGCTAGAGATTTTCAACTTTCAACTGCATGCACCGCCAATTGATGAAGGCCACAATAACTTAACCACAGCTACTTTGGAAGAGGATGTTAGTGAAAAAACTGTCACTTTAGTTGATGCCCAGTTCTTTGAGAAAAACATAGTGCTGGAGTTGGAAATGATTAATGAGAACCCCTCTTGCTCATTGGATTTCCAGACATGCATTTTAGCAAATAGAAGAATTAAAAAAACAAAGAAAACATCGAGATGTTTGAGGGATTAAACCAAGCAAGAAGGTTTTGAAGACCAAGAAAACCACTAGAAGTTTTTAGTGGTTAGTAGTTTAGAGGTTGCAGTGTCTGAGGGTGGTTTTGGTGTTGGTTGTTTGAGGGAGGTTGTTGTTTCTCGTGGGTTTTGAAGTGTTCTATTTGTGCTTTCTTTGAGTCGAGTTTTTGTATTTTTGAGTTTGCTTGGTCTCTGGTTGCCTTTTAGTGGTCTTTTTGGCTCTAGGATTTTGGTGATTTTGAGGCTCAGATGGGTTGGTTTCTTGTTTGAGAATTGGATTTTGTTTCTCTTTTCTCTCTTGAGTGACTTCTGGTCACTCCCCTCTTGTACTCTCTTTTTCTGATTAATAAATTTTATTTCTATTACCCAAAAAAAATATGTTTATCATTTAATGATGTGGTTATAAATTAGAACTGTTGGCAATTCTTCTTATGCTAAGCCAGGAGCAAGGAACTCTTAGAGGCCACCTGCCTCATATTTTATCAAGATGAACTTTGATGGCTGCAGTGTAGGAAATCCTGAGGGATTCGGTTGTGAAGGCGTGTCCAGATTCTTCAGAAGTGAGGAGGGAAGGTATTGGCTTTGTATTCAGGCCCTATTGCAAGGGCAGAGCTGATGGCAGTTTTGAATGGGCCAAGGCTGGGAAAAATTTTAAGGTATAAGACATCATAATGGAAGGGAACTCCAAAGTGATAAGTGGGATGGTTAAGAAGAAAAGCACCAGAAACATGGGAGTATAGATGCATACCAAGGGAAATCGGATTGTTAGCAACAGAATTGATGGCCATGTTTCAGTGGGTGTCGGTGTGCACAAACAGTATGGATGATATTTTAGCCAGACAAAAGGTGAACAGAGATCTGTTTTGGGAGGAAGTACCAAAGGAAACCTAATGTAAGAGCTTATGGCGTATATAGTGCATACTAGACTGCCCTCTTGTAAATTTGTATACTCTGTTCTATACCTTTAATATTTTTTTTTATTTGTTACTGATCAAAAAAAAAGGACGCCCATTTAGTCCAAATAAATTTCAACTAAAACCCAGATGCTAGAACTACCTTGGAACTGAATACAACTATACAAGTATTTCGAACAGAAGAGACAATGCAGGACACTTACAGGTTTATCTGGTGAAGCTGCAGCTGGAGGAGAAGTTTCAGGCTGTGAGGTGGCTGTATTAGGCTTCTCGGGCTTAGCTGCATTTCCATTGCCCTTGTCATGTTTTTTCATGAACCACTTCCGGATATCCGACTGCTGTCGAATAAAAATGAAACAACTTACATTGACAGGAAAAATGAAAAAAGAAGACAAAAAAAAAATCCAGAAACTGTGCAGAAACCCTAACTCACCATGTCTGATATCAAAGCTTTCCGTCTCTAAACCCCAGTATCAACCTTGAACCATAAACCCTATCTTAGCAGACATTCAGCAAAATTAAGAAACTCTTCAAACGTTGCTAACAATTGCATTTTTCGGTTATGCAAAACCTAATACGCTCTGCAAGAGAAAACAGCGAAAGAAGAAAATAAGTAAAAACGTGATCGTTTTTCTGGTCTGAAAATAAAAACATGTTCTGATTGTGTCAAACGCTTTCCCAAGACATACGAATTTTCAGAAGTCCCTCGAACCAAAACCCACGACCCAAAAGCAAAAACCAAACGAACAATGTTTCTTTTGTCGCAGTATGAAAATTTCGCGGGAATTTTAAGGTATTCTATCCATCCCGATCCCGACCTTAATGGGACGTTTATCAAAACGTTACAGGGCCTGAGACGGGTTTGAGATTTTAGATTAAAATCAGTGGCAGAGTCGAAATTTTATTTTGGAGGGCCAAGTTAAATAAGAAAATGAATTAGTGAGTATAAGAGGTGGGGTTTTAAGATAAATGAGGTGGGGAGGTTTGGGTTTTAAAAATAATAAAACATTTTTTTTTATTTTGAGAGTTGGTGTGTTAGAGAGTGATCCTTAGTATCCCATTATTAGCATAGCACGTTATTTCTTTTTAAGTGTCACATCACATTTTAATTATATGATGTAAAATTGGATACAAGGTCCAGAGTATTGAAAATTGTAAAAAATATTAAAAATAAAATTAAAGAAATATATTTAGATACAAGGTTCAATGGAAAATTCAAGATGCATATAGATAAATCATGGAAATTCAAATATATATTAAAATATATGAATTATATAATCTACATCTCTAATAATTTTATGAGTAAGAAAAATTTATTTTAATGGTTTATGACTTTATGTAAAATGTAATTTCATACTAAAAATGAGATGTATATTGGAATGTCCCACATCACCGCCCCATACGACGTGCGACTGACACCTGTCTAGTCACACGCGGTGGGGCATTTCCGCGTGCGACGCTAAATGGACGAACGTTAACCCTGCTGCAAAACTCATTCAAAAGGGCTTTAGTCTGCGACTCTACCCTTGTTTTTTCATTAAGCTCTAACCCTTATTTTTTGTCCAGGGCTTTGGTTTTTTCATTAAACCCTCCTTTAATGTTTTGTTTTTCTTTTCAAACCATAGACCTTTTTTACCCTCACCTCCCTCTCCGGTTTTTCAATTACACATAACTCGTGAAAATATGTTTTTTTTAGCCTAGCTATGAATGCCTTTGTGTGTTTGGGAAAGCTGAAAACAAAGATGGTTTTTTGAGTCCACCCATCCCCTAAAAATGTCTTGGAACCAGATTCAAATGATGGAAAAAGTTGGCCTTTTGACCCACCCACCTCCTCTCACTCCTTTGCTTTCTCCTGCTTCCTCTTCATCTTCATCCTCATCTCCTTATAATAACAATAATTACCAGAAAGAATCAACTCCTTCATCATCATCTAGCAGTAGAATCAGCCCTGCTGTTCTTTTTATTATAGTTATTCTAGCCGTTATTTTCGTCATCTCTGGCCTGCTCCACCTGCTTGTTAGATTCCTTATAAAGCAACTATCTTCCTCTTCGACATCTCAGTCTAACAGATACCCGGAAATTTCTGGTTCCGATGCTCTCTAAAGGCAATTGCAATAGCTCTTCCAGCTGCATGACTCTGGTCTAGATCAAGCTTTCATAGATGCTCTCTCTATTTTCCACTACAAAGAGATAATGGGTCTAAAAGAGTCGTTTGACTGTGCAGATTGCCTATGTGAATTTTAACAGCAAGACAAACTAAGGTTGCTTCCTATGTGTAGTCATGCTTTTCATATTAACTATATAGACATGCCCTCTCTTGTAGAGGGACACTTTACAGCCCTAGCCTTGCCATTTAGAATCCGGTTTTTTATTTTGACGATTTAAGGGAGGATAGTGGGTGTAGGGATGGCAATTTTCTCCATCCCCGGAGGGTAGGAATGTTCACGGGTCGGGTTGGGTCGGTTTATTGGGGTTTTTCCAACCGACCCGACCTGGTTGGGTTACCTGAGGTGAAAACTGAAACTGACCCACTAATAGGCCAAACCGATCTGGTCGGTTTGAGTTGGGTTGGGTCGGTTTGGGTCGGTTTCGGTTTTGCTCCTGTACAAAAGGACATCTAATTGAATTCTAATTGTAATTGCCTAATGGGTTGCTTATTTGGTGTAAAAGATTATAAAAAGTTAGAAACTATGATAGATTGCCTATTCTAATTGTAATTGCCTAATGGGCCTTCTAGTTCTACTAGAAGACTAGTTATAGTTAAGTAAGAAACTACTCAAACTAGGAATTACCGAACTAGTAGAAGACTAGTTCAGTTCGGGTCGGGTTAGTTTCGGTTTTCACACAAGAAAACCGAAACCGACCCGATATATCGATTTATATATTTTCCCAACCCGAAACCGACCGGTACTGATGAAAACCCGGCTGACTCAGGTTGGGTTGGTCCGGGTTGGTCAGTTTGGTCGGGTTGGGCATTCTTATGAACAGCCCTACCGGAGGGGACTCGACTTCCCCGACCCAATGGGGGAGGGATGGGGATTGTTTTGGTGGGGTGGGGACGAGGACGGGGATTAGTAGGAATCCCTGATCAGGGTCAGAGTTAGGGATGGGGATTGAGGTCCCCGCCCCACCCCGACCCCGATATTATGTATATATATATTATTTATATTATATATATACCAAAACATATTTAAAAATTTATTTTTAATTTACAATTTTTATTTATTTTAAGTAAATTTATTTTTCAAAAAAAATATATATTATTATCTAAAAAAATTTCGGAGATTCAGGTCCCCACGAGGAACCTATCGGGGATGGGGGTTACTTTTATAATCGGGTTCGGGGACAAGGAATATGATCCCCGCCCCATTGCCATTCCTAAGTGGGTGTCCAGGCAATGGAGAGGATGGGTTTGTTTGGAGGAAATTCTTACTCAGGCCTCATAGAACAACCCAATCCTAATAGATTTCTTGACATGGAAGGTCGGTTTGATGAAGAAATGGAATTGGAAGGAATAAGAGATGCCCTTCATAACAGTGGAATGTTTTCCATGGAGGAGGAATTAGAGGAAGGGGAGATACCGGGCTTATGAAAAGTTGGAATTCATTGCCTCAAGGCAACAAGAAACCAAATGCTGTACCAAGCATCTGTTGAATTAATAAATGGTGGCCGGAGCGATCGCCGGTGCCGAAGAGGGTAAAAAAGTCTCTAGTTTGAAAAAAAAAACAAAACATCAAAGGAGGGTTTAATGAAAAAACCAACGCCCTAGACAAAAAACGAGGGTTAGAGCTTACCTGGTGACCGGAGTGATTGCCGATGCTAGAGATGGGGGTGGAGATCCAAGCTCAGGCAGAGAACGAGGGTCCAATTTGAGCTTCAGGGGGGTGGGAATATGGGAAAAGCTTGTAGAATTGCGGACTAAGGCCCTTATGAATGAGTTTTGTAGCTAATGGGTAGGGTTAACGTCCGTCCATTTAGCGTTGCACGTGGAAACACCCCATCGTGTGCGACTAGACAGGTATCAGTCGCACGCCGTGTGGGGCGAGGCACGGTGGGGAGGTGATGTGAACTCTACATATGCATAGCTTAACAAACTAATAATGCAAATCTCATTAATGATCATATAAAAGGTTACAAATTTTAATAAATAATAGTGTTATGTGTAGTATAAAACTTACATTATCCTAAGAAATCAGCCATCCCAAAAAATGTCCCTTAAATGATAGTTGAGATTATAGAAGCAAAAACATTTAAGTCCGACTTCGATCATGACACACTTCATGTGCGCACCGTTTGCGCAACATGAGGATGCGCCACGCATCTTTGAAATATGTGTGTGCTTGAAACGTGCAAGATGGATTAAACGACATTAGCTCCTCATACATTATGCTCCTCTCTCGCCAGATTGCTCTCATTTACCACACCAAATTGAACCCACCCTTTTCACTCTCACTCTCTCCAACCGACGGCGACCAGTAACCATCACTAGTGACTAGCGGCCGAAGAAAAACTCCAGGTATTCATTATTTTCATTCTTTTTCTTTCCCAGAAATTTGATAACCTATATATTATGAGAATGTAATGGTGAAATATGATTATTAGTTTAATTACTCATCTAACATAGATCCAATCCATTTTATGAGAATGCAAGTGCGGTTCCAATAATCCCTATCACACCAATAAAAAAAATCACGAAGACAACAAATAAATGCAAGTGTTGGGCTTAGAGAATCACCTATTTGGTTCAATTAAGATTTGGAATAAGATTTCTGATTGTTGTTGTTTGGTTCATTTGGAGTTTGAATTGAGTTTTTCAAGTGAAATCAAATATACCATATGGCCATTAAAACCTATTATACCCTTTATTATTTTTACAATCATAAAAATAAAAACCAAAGAGAAATCAAGGCCTGCTTATGGATTTGTAGATTGAAAAAGATATGAAGTCATCCGCCTTGGATTGTCTATATTTGGAGTCGTTTTTGCTTTTAAAGTTAGTCCAATGCAACCCACCATCAATCAAGTACCTTTAGTATGGAAATTCAAAATTTTCACATATTTTATAAAAACTAATTGCAATTGAAGACTAAATCAAAAGAAAGCAAGGCTTCTCCAAAACAACAACTCATGTTGGTCTGCGGTGATAGTGTAGCAACAATGACCCTTATGCATTGCAGGAAGAAGTCAAATGAAAAAGGGTGGATTTATGTACCTTATGTATTATAGGGACCATGAAGAATTAATTGAGAGCATCCCAACCCACCTCCCCTTATTCTTTGTATCCCCCCCCTGAAATTCTTTGTTGATACTTTAATCTCACACAAAATTTCTGTTTAACATCATTGTTTTAGCTTCTAGAACAATCTTCCAATTGTTGGGGCCTCACAACAACCACTCACAGTATAAAATCACAAGGTATTTCAAATAGCAACTACGAGAAATTTCTCTCCCTTCAACTGGGAATTACATTCCTTATTTAGAAAATCATATTTTCAATGATCATTCTTGAACCTTAAACTGAATCAGATCTGAACCAAAAGAAGTAGGGGAGAATTATACATGATACGGAGAAGTAGTATCTCCCAACGGAGGTGTTCACGCCCAAGGAAGGATAAAAAAACTGCTCCCACTGAAGATGGCGTAGTGCAGGATGGAGCAGAATCAGCAGTGTTATTCTCCAAGAACTCTGTCATTCGCAAGAATCAGCAGGATGGTACATGAGCACAGCTTCCTTTCAATCATTTCTCAAAGAATTGATGTCAAGATCCAATCTTGACTTCTCCCACAACAGGAGATCGAACTGGCAAACAGGGCGGCAAGAACAAGGAGGCGGCAAGAGAGTATTCGCAGGGTGCATAATTCTCTCTTCTTGATTTCAGCACTAA